GTTTTAAAGTAAGTAAGCTCCTCGTTAAAAAATGTTTAAAATATTTTCTCACTTTTCTCTTAACGTAAAAAGACTCAAAAATGTATTCACTTTTGTACAAAATATTTGCTCACTTTAAGTATTAAGGCGCTCTTTGTCATTGCAATGTTTTCTCTGTATAAATCGTTAAAGATACGCGTGTACATGCTTGTACTTACACGTCACGGTCGTAGACGACAAAATTAATGCTCCGTACCGTAAGCAAAGCTAAACACCGCTATGACAATTTTTCCCCACAGTAATTACCTGTCGCCTAAAACTTCGTCACATACCTCAATTGTCCGCATACTTTTCTATTGTATGTATCAAACTGACAAAGTTTTAATAAAGTAGCAATAAACAGTATAAATGATTTCAACGATTATACGTCTTTTAGAGTCACTGAAGACATTTGTAAATAATAATAATATAAAATCTGTAGTATTATCAATAAATAACGCTCAAACGCTTTTCACCGTACGAAGTAAGAATGAAATCAACGAAACAACTTAAGAATACAAATTTCACGAGTATAGTTTATTTATGTACATTATGTATATGTATACATATTAGTAATTGTTTTATTCAAGCTTTTATCAAAAAAGAGGCTGCTAAAGTAAAGCAAAGCAAAGAAGTAAGTTGGAGAACTTAATACTTCAACAGATAAAACGAAAACAAAGGTATACTTCGAGGATGATGTTACGGGTGACCACCTGTGTTTCATAACGCATCTTCCGTAAGTAGGAACAATCAGACGACCTGGAAACGCAGTCGAACATAAAGAATTTCGTCGATATCTCTTAATTGTCTATAGAAAAGGAAGTTTGTTCAAAAGACCGTATATAGCTCAAAGTGCGTGTTACGTCGGAGACTTAAGGGAGCGCATCAGGCCCAAAGAATACAGGTCGCTACACTCGCGTGACTGCATTTGCATTCCTCTAAACTAGATTACCTGATTGTTAGAAAATTGTTTCTCATAGTTCAATGGACTCTACAATTAACTGATCTGATTCTATCCGATGATAAGTGGACCTCTTGTTTCATACGAGCTTTTCCTAACAAAACGGATCTTCGCGTGACTCCAGTTGATTCCGCAAACGGTTGACATAATCGTTTCGCTGCGCACCCTACTACTATACAGTTGCGATTTACAATGTACACAATTGGTACAGGTGCAGCAGCTTTTCTATTACCAGTGTTATCAACGTCTGCAACCGTGATCGAACCATAGCAATCACACACAACCGCAGTGAAAGTGTTGCGTGTCTTTTTCCTTTTCCTCCTTTTTTATAATTATTAATCTTCCTATTTTTTTTAAATCCTGTTTTCGTGACAGTACGAAACGATTGTCTCATTTCAAAATAAATCATATTTGAAACATATTTGAATAAAGCACGCACAGGTCACATCTGCGTTGGTTTCTTTTTAAGAATAAAAGCTATTGATTGTGTTTCTATTATTTTAAGTATTCCTACCTTTTAGCGCTATTTCTTCAAATTTCAGTTTCAACTTAATCCTCAGAGATTTCCTGTTTTCTTCTTAAAATTTCGACGTTTCTTTTATATTCGAGGTCAACTAACACTGTTAACACACAAAAGTCGAATTCCTGTTATGATCGTTTTGTTCCGGAAAACACGCGACGCGGGTAAGTAGGTACTCTTGTTTCGAATATGTACCTCGGTACGAACGCGAAGAAGTTTTGCGCAAAGCGTGCCGATGCACCAAGTCGAGGGGAGAAGATGACTGTGGCGTGGGCGATGGCGAGCGGGAACGAAAAGAGAATTGCGAAGTGCCGTGTCTAACCACCGTGAAGGCACGCTTCCAGGAAATTCTTCCCTTTCCACCAAATCTTTACATTCTACTAAAGTGGTGACAGTGACAGAAATTTCGAATTTAGGATTGTCTCGGAACCATGTTGGATGTCACAACAAAAGATCTCAAAAAACTAAAGGCTCCGGTTCCCACTACATAACGAATGTTTTTACATACATATATTTCGAATAAAATTGTTAATAGAGTCAAGTATGGCAAATGGAAAAAAGTGTGATTACTATTCAGTATAATTTATAATTTATTTCATTTTATTGTCCTTCTAAAAAATGTTATAGTTACAGCGATATACGATACTGCTTTAATGTACATTGACAACGAACACGATTTCCATGATTTTCTTATGAACGTGCAGTTAAATATGTTCCAGTCCAGATGATATGAATTCCACCTTCTTCTTTCTGTTCTTCTAAAAGTTCAGAGAATCTACTGGTTATAACAAATATTGACACATCGTTATACGGTATCAGCATATTCATTAATAAAATTTGAAAACACGTTTCCTATTACCCTATACATTAATGAACTTATCAAAATGTAAATATCATTCACGTATTAAAACTTGTTTTAGAAATTGATTAGAGACCTTGACTAGAAAACTGACTGTAAGTAGAGATAACATTAAAAATGTAAGGTTGAATATCCCGTTCTTCAGTTAACAAGTCCAAAATTATTATTAATTACTTGAGCTGATCCGTACTTACATCAAAGATGTGAACTCATTTTTATTCGCATTCGGCTGTGTAATGAAATACACGTGTATGATATATCTGTCAATGTTTTCAATTTTTTTATCATATAACGTAAAGTTCCTGCACATGTGTATTAATAATTTATTTTGTATAAAAGATTTTTATCAAATAAATCATATTTTTCAGTAATATTTTCAGTACTTGAATACTTATGTGTTAATATTACTTAAATATATAAAATATTAAGACAAATATATTAATATTAATTATGAATATTTACATGTATAATTAAAATTTTTATTAGTAGACGGTTATAAACAATCTCTATTGCTTGTACCTTAAGCGATAAGTTCAAGTTTGAGAATACTGACTAAATATGCAAAAAGAAACGAAAGAAGGTGCGTGGTATCGATGATGCAAAAGTTACGAAGTAAGACATTTTATTTTAATGAGGAGAACTCGTTATGAACAGTATATCCTACTTTTTTACTTCATCTGATCTCTATTCATTTCACTCTTCACAGCATTGCTTACAGACTGCATGTAGATACTTTCATAATGTTCAACTGTATACAACTATCATTGTATTTCTCATGAGTTATACATGTATGTATTATATTAAATAAATATTGTTTTCATAGTTTCATGGATACTACGGCCAAGCAGATGTAATAGATAATAGAATACAGAATCTCCACGTGGAGTGAAGGTCCTGCATTTATTTACGCACAAACACAATGTCAAGAAGAAATCTGTGTTACAACTGGTTTTCAGAATCAACGGTTCTATAATATCGCCTGGTTATGCGTAGCTACGGCAGTAGTTTATCGACATCAAGACGAAGAAGGTTTTCTTCATTTTTAACACTAAACCTACCAGAGCGGTCAAATGTCCGCTTTTGAGACTTTAATAATAAATGTTTTTTAATTATTACATGATAATTATTTTGTGTTTTATTGCCTATGCTAAATTCTGTATTATCTATAATCAACTGGAAAATAATATAATGTTTATTTGAAAAGCGCTCATTTGACCGCCATCGGTAGAAATAGATATATATGAAATGTCGGTAGGTTTAGTGTTATTAAATCCGAGACGAATATTCTTTTCATACTTCGACAAATTAAATTCTTTTTTTTACATATTACTCTAGTGCTTCGTAAATTGTCAGATCATTAGTACAAGTTCTCATCTTTCTATTGGTATTTGGTAGCTCTAACGTGTGTGTGTAAATATAGATGTAGAAGTACCGCGATGATTACCTATGTGATATGATTACATATGCAGCGCACCACTTACGTATTACAGTGCTTACAATTCTACTATTGCGAAAATTCTACCATTTTTACTATATATAATTCACTTTTTACTCTGCAAGACCCTAACATAAATAAAATGTCCTGTGCACTTATTTAGTATTATAAAAATAGAAGATATTTATTAATTTTTCATTTTTTAGCTTAAGAATATGTTGTGCAAACATTTTCTTAAAACTACGCAAGGATTTTCAAGAAACATTCTGAAATATTATCAAATCATAAATAATGGTTCAATCAAAGAAGTTAGAAATATTGGAATTCGTAAAGTACATACGACAGAAAAGTCGCCAAGAATACTTATTACAGGTATGAATACTTTAAAAAAAACTGAAAGTAGAATTTTTGTTCAACAGTAACCGCAGGGTAGCTGCCGCGTCGCCGTAATAATTCCAGATTCGCTAATTTATAAAATATTGTAAATATTCATTGCTTATTCGTCAGTTACTAATATCAATACTAATTGTTATTCATTATCAATTACTAATTTTCACTGTTTTCTCTGTTTTTGCAAGGTGGTCTTGGACAGTTGGGCACCGAGTGCGCGAAGCTGCTTCGTAAACATTATGGAAACGAGAATGTGATATTATCTGACATAATCAAACCGACAGAAGAAAGTTTATCGAACGGTCCATTCATTTTCGCGGATATCCTCGATTTCAAGGGGCTTCAAAAAATTGTCGTGAATTACAGAATCGATTGGTTGATTCATTTTAGCGCCCTCCTCAGCGCTGTTGGCGAGCAGAATGTTCCATTGGCTGTAAGAGTTAACATTGAAGGTAAAAATTGATTTTTTAAGTTTCGAAGTATTCTAGGTCGTTGGGAAACGAAACAAATTGTCGTGCTAAGTGAATCTGTTATTTAATTATGTTGTTACCGTAGTCATAAAGGAAAGTGCACTAGAGAAAGTAAAGCAGCTTTCATAGATAAATGCGAATTACGTATCTCTGAAGAGAACTTTCGAAAAACGGAACAACTGCAATTATCATTAAAAAGTTGTAAGAATAATAAAACGATTCGAACAATTCATATATTATTTCATAAATCTTATATTAGGAATGCACAATGTTATCGAACTGGCGAAACAGTACAAATTAAGGATATTTATTCCATCCACGATCGGTGCATTTGGTCCGGATTCACCACGGAATCCTACCCCAAACGTGACCATACAACGTCCTCGAACGATTTATGGTGTTAGCAAAGTGCATGCCGAATTATTGGGTGAATACTATCATCACAGATTTGGGCTTGACTTCCGGTGTCTTAGATTTCCGGGTGTCATTAGCAGTGACCCACCGGGCGGTGGTACCACAGGTATGTACCCTGATGTATACTTATTATTTTTAGCTATACATAAAAATATCCCGATACTAGTCAATAGAATTATTTAGAAATTAAAAAATTAAGTTTCATAAATTAATAGTCGAATATATTTTATTCGTAATACTCGAAGATTTTTTTTAATTAACATCATTTTTAAGATGTTCCAAAAACTGAATTATTTGGAATCTTTTTAATTCTTTTCAGAGATTAATTAATCAAGTTGATAAATACAAATGCGTTTACAATTTTTTTTTCAAAAATGGAGTTTCCCGAATTGCCACCTTATTTACTTAATTAAGTTCATTTTATAAAAGTATCCTTTAACGATAAGAGCTGGAGCACGTTTCAAGCATAATTAGAATAACTAGATAATAACGCAATCTATAGTTCTTCAAGGACAATAGTATACGCTAAATTGTCGAGTATCCCTTAATCATGAACCGTGAGATCTCTGCGTTTCCTTCACTTTCTAATGCGTAAATCTCGAAAAAAAATAAGAGCTATGGAATAGATAGAATTCCTATTGCAATAATAATATTTAAAACGTAATTATTTTAGCTGGTACGTGTACTTCTTACAGATTACGCAGTAGCAGTTTTTCATGAAGGATTGCTTACTCAAAAATATGAGTGTTATTTAGAACCCTATACGAGGTTGCCAATGATGTATATAGAGGATTGTTTGTCAGCGCTTTTTCAATTTTTGAACACTCCAAAGGAGCTACTACAAAGGAGGGTATATAACGTTACTGCTATGAGTTTCACACCTGAAGAATTGTTTGAAGAACTGAAGAAACATGTTCCTAACTTGAAGATTTCATACAAACCAGACGGAAGACAATATATTGGTTAGTATATAACATTCGTATGTGATAATACGTGTAAGTGCTATTCTGCTATTAAATTTTAGCTGAAAGTTGGCCGCAAGTTTTTGACGATAGCGAGGCACGGCGAGATTGGGGATGGAAACACAAATACAATTTAGAAAAACTTGTAGAATCAATGATACACGATGTAAGAAAAAATTCTTCATCTAAAAGATCAATGAAGGAGGTCAATAGTTACGTGTAACGCAATATTATTTAGAAAGCAGCTACATGAATTATAGTAAAACAAAATTGAAAATATTACAAATATACATACATGAAATATAAAATACGCAGTTTAATAAGAATAAATCTAAGAAATAAGCTTTTTACAACCGATTTTACATGTCTTCGTTTATTAATTCAGCGATTTCGTCGGCGGTAAGATCATTTGCTATTCGCTTGGGAATAGCTTTTGTAGTTCTAACTGGAGTCATGCTGCTTCTTTCATGCATAGTATTTGGCAATGGTGTAGTATCTCCTGTGCTTGTGGAAGGTATAACGACATCCTTTGAAAATGTACCAGCAGTTCCTGGAGGTGTACCAGTAATCCTCGAAGGTGTACCAGCATTCCTCGAAGGTGTACCAGCATTCCTTGAAGGTGTACCAGCATTCCTCGAAGGTGTACCAATATTTCTTAAAGGTGTCGCAATGCTTCTATCAATTCGTCTAGGAGTGCCCACTCTATCACTAAATCTTCCACTCTGTGAGAGTCTTTCCTTGTTTTCATTTTCTATGTGATAAAGCAAAGTATATAAATGTATATGCATTGACAAATCATTCGTGCATCTTTTTAATATGATATTGTCGTACCTGTAGGATTTTTTTTAGCTAATATAGCTCGACTTTCCATAAAATATCCATTGGGGTGAAGAATAGGTTTCTCTGGTAACTGGTTATGTGCAGCTTTGAAATATGCGGCACAAGCTATATGATAATTTCTCTCTTTGACTAACTCAGCTATTTCGCCGATGGCTGAAATGAAATGAAAATTATAAATATCAATACAAAAAAATGTAAAAAACAAAATAATGTGATAAAAATATTCTTACTTGCTGGAGGTACGCCGTAATTAAATAGTTTTTGCTTTAATGATGCGGGATCCATGTGCTTATATGGACAACCATGATATTCTCCAGGACCTACAGCTGAATTCATAATTTTTGGACATCCAAGAGGAGTGTAATTTGTCTGTTTACCCGCTTTACCATAAGTATGTCTTATAGTATATGCATAATTTCGTTCAAATTTTTCTGGATCTATTTTCCTAGTAAATTCTGTTTTCCAGAAACGTAAAGAATCTTCTAAAGTCACACCAATGCCTTTTATAAATAAACCGTATTGGATACGCCCACCGTTTTTAAGGTGGTGATTAGTTTTAAGTGCCTCGTGTAATACTCTCATGCACAAAGGATACGAAGTCTTTGACAACTGCAAATTAGACATTATTAAAACAAACTCACGGTACAAAAGAAATAAGTTATTTACCTCATCCAACTTTTCTATAGGTGTACTGTCTGTAGTCCAAACGACCTGAGTTGCAGTGCAGAAAGTACGATTTAAAGTCTTATAATACGTGATCATTCTTTGGTCTTCACTTATCCTTATCATACAGCATCTTGCGCCCTTTATCACAAAAGCATCATACAATTTATTTATAGTTACAATAATAACAAAACTATACTTACATCCATATCATCAATTAAAATCTTTCGGAAATATGAAGTAAACAAAGATATCAACTCTATATGCGGTATATACGCTATTCCTTTACTTAAATAAACTTTCCGTCCTCTAATTAAGTCTGTGACCTTTTGAAAAGGCACTTTATAAAAATCTGTTGTGTCGATATTTGTAATTTTTGCGGTAGATGTACTAAGTTCTTCCCTAAGTTCATCTTTTTCCTCTTGTGTAACCTTAGAAAAACAATTATAACAAAGGAAATCATAAATGTAACAGGTACACATTTGTTAACTGATTTCGTCGCTTACCTGTTGACAGTCTATTTCGTGCTTACTGAGCAATTTTTCAACACCTTCTTTATTTAAGGAGCTAAATCTCAATTTAAAAAGCTCTACTTCTTGTTTAATAAACCACATTTCACGATCTGTATCTTGACAAAATGCCAGTTTTAATATATAATGTGATAAATGATCCATTTTTCTACAAGCTATATCCATATCTGTGGATGAACTACATCCCTTTCCGTATAAGAGATGCGCATAGTCTTTAAGCCCATCTTTCTTTAATGCTGTACTTAGATGTAGTTTGCGTTCTTCTATTGCTTTAAGATCTGTCCTTGCTGCATTACTTTCAACATATTGTAGGACTATAAAAAATTACGTAGAAGCAATTAGTTGGCTAATATACAGATTATTGATCCTTACACGTACAATTTTGCATTGTAATCACCTTTTAATCTGTCTACACCCAGTTTTTGGTAATCTGCAAGTCGTATCGTCCCTTGTAACGGTGGTTCATTGTATATTTGTAAATCGTGTAAATAAATATTCTCAGGATCACTCGTAGACTCGCCATTAGTTGCAGGTCGTCGTCTTGTATTATATTCCATATTTAATGTTTTTTTTCCTTGAATGAAATATATTACACTTTTATTCTTTTCATCTTGAATTCTTTAAATAAATTTTGCGATAAAAGTATGGTTTGCCATACTTACACACTTAATAAAATTTATTACAAAATCAACATACAGCGGTATAATAATATTTTAATTACTATGTACATTCGTGTTAATTATATTTCTTGAACGTACATAAACTTCTCTGATCGGCGATTATTTACCAGTTGCTAGTTGCTACTGCTACTTGCCTTATTACCTATAGGTAGTGTGGTTCCCGCGCTTTTCTCCTACTACTTTCCAAAATGATCTTGTTACAGCAGATCATGGCAGCAAAATATAGTATGATGAGCACACAAATGAAGTGATAATATATGTAATTGATAATTTATATTGTTTAAAGAAGAGTTACAGATGTACGAACTTGTAGATAATTATTCTAAACGTGTCGTCGTGATTTAATGTTTGATTCCGAGTGTAATTTGTTATGCAGTGAAATATTCTTCATTTGTTAAATGTGCGGCATGATGGGATGTATTTGTTAAGAAATATACCCGAAATTATACACAGAAATAATTCGAAAATCCTACTTAATTTATGGTTATTTCATGTTAATAATTTATATCTGTTTAATCTTAATTGTATATATACTTATTAGTGTATATATGTTTAGCTTACCGAAAAGTAAGGAACGAGTAACTCTTCTTTAACCGGCCCTTGCGTTAATTACGTTTAACTAATATAATAATAAGTGTGAATTTCGGGATTTATACATTTATATATGTATGTATGTATGTATGTAGTTTAAAACAAAGGAAGATGTTCACAGTGGAACTCCTGATCTTCAAGCGAGAAATATGAATTTCGAAAGAGGTACGTATTTTATGTTTTCAACAATCAGATTGTAACAACAGAAATTGAATAAAATAATTCATGTGATGTTCGGAAGATGTATGAACCATAATCTAACTTATTTTCATTGTATATATTTATTTCAAATAAAATCATACAACTTTACGCTAATTAAATATGTACATACATACCACGTAGCATTTACATCTTTACAAAAAAGTTAGAAAGGAAAACGTATTGGAAAGATAGCACCAACATATATTTACTAAAACTTAATATATTTAATATTGAAAATATATTTACCAACACATTACCTCGTTTTACAAAAAACTGCCTTGATTATGATATTACATACAAGAATAGCAAATTATGAAATAGTACTATACACTATTAAACAAAAATGTTATAGTTTTGGATTCTTAGATATTGTTGCAGTAGAAATATTTTTAAGTTGAAGAGGAGCCAAGTGACCTTCAACGCTAACCAAATTTTTAACGCAAATTTCTTTCACTTGAAGATTAGAGTATTCCATTCTGTTTTTCACAGGAGATATATCCCGTAATTCACGAATAGTAATATCCGTTTTATTGATAACTTGCTTCTCTAGCAAGTTAACATGTTTAGGATACATTGAATCTCCTGGTAAAACGTACACTCTTCCATCTTGTAATTCTATCTTTACCTAAGAATGTATAATCATTATTAAGATTATAATTTTAGTGCTATAACACATTATCTAAAAGTTATTTCACGTACTGGCAGACTTAAGAGCACCCCTTTTTTACTGCGCTCAATGGCAAAATCCAACAAGTTATCTATACTTTCGAATTTCGCTAGTCTCCCAATTTCATATTGTTGTGGAGGCGGCAATGTAACATCCGGAGAAGTTAACAAATTTCCGGGCATATCCCACTAAATTATTAAAAAATACATCCTAATATACGTAAATACGTGACTCATTCCGTATTTAGAAATAAACCTTACTTTCAAACCTTCCATTTCTGTAACATCATAAACAGTTTGAGGTATATTTGAAATGCAAGCTAGATAAAATGCAGTATCGAAACGCCTTCCAACGAAATAAGTTGGTGTCAACCAGTTACTCCATTCGTAAAGAGACCATAAGTCTGGATAGCAATTAAAATTTTCACATAACGTATAAAATTCCTTAGCATCGTTGTGTACCCTTTCTTGCCAATCGCGTATGTCATTTTCTGGAACTGAACAAGCGAAAATTATTTTCTTTTTATTTGATCAAGTATATTCAAGTAATGGAATTATCCTTTTAATAGAAACAAATATACAAACGCCAGTCAAATTACTTTTTACGTAGTTAGCCCAACCAAAATCATTAGTTTCTTGCGATTGTCTGCATATAAGTATACCGCTCTCTTCAAACGTTTCACGAATCGCTGTTATGCGTAATGAAACTTCTCTTGGCAATTCGTTAGGTTTAAATTTGAAGATTTGAGGACGAACAGAGGTTTTCGGATATAAAGATGTGAAACTGTTTGCATCGATACCAAAGGTGGAAAAAATGTTATGCCACTTCAAATCAGCGTCTGATGGATGTATCTCTCCTCCAGGAAATACGTACATACTCGGCTGAAACCTCGCGTTTTGTTGACGTTTCATGCATAACAGATTGTAATTGTACTGAAACTAAAAATTATTTTTTAAGCTTTGAGAAGTTTAATGGCTGAGACAGTTAAGTACCGAGGAAAAGTCAAATAATTTTCATAAATTCTCGCGCGTATTTTACCTACAAAATCATGTGTTTCGAGTATCGATATTTCAACCGCACGATTGCTTAAAAATTTGCGTCTAAAATAATAGTGAACAAATAAGGTACAACTTTACAAAATGTATTAATTAAAAATGTAATGTCGAATTCGTTTACTTACATTTGCAAAAGACGAACGTATACATTTTTGTGCGTGACGAACTGCTATTATTAAACTAGCAGATTCTCTCCAAGCTCCCATCTTGTCACGTTGATTAATTTATAAAATTTTCAAATAAATAAATTATGAGGTTATGAACACACTAGAATTCCTTGTAAGGTAAGTGAATGTGTGGTATGTGAATGTATATGTATATGCGTGCAATACATGTCAATACGTGTACGTAATTATTGTAATAATTTCTAAATGATTAGATCAAACAATCGTTAGTAATAGTAAATAACCGACTATTAAGAATGTTCCATTGTTTAAAAGTAGTATAAATTCTTTTAATTTTAAACACTTCATCCACATATAAAAATTAATATGTTTACATTTACAAATGTGAAGTTTATTCACAAATAGTTATTGTGTAACTTGATTCATAACATGAATTACTGCACTGACTACAACTTTATGTACAAGTTTATTACTTTGAGATACTTTATACATTTAAACTGCTTAATCTACACATCTTTGGCATTTTTATCACTTTTACCACTTGCTGCAAGCATCAGTTCATATAATTGATATACTTGTTCATCTGTAAATTTGTTAATATCTTCATCTTTCAAAACTTTACCCAGTGGCTTAGCTGTATGCGGTCCTCTTAAGCCAAGCTGTTTAGCAAGCATTACAGTGTATTCCTATAAAATAAAAATTCATTAAGCATGTATTGGTTGTACAAATTCTAAAAAAAGCCTTAGGTAATTGCATAATTCTAGTCTTCTGATTTATTTTTCACTCCTTGCTACTTGTATTATCAAGAAACATAATAACCTAATTGTATTAAGAGAATACAAAATGATTATTCTTCATTAATACTTACTGTCCATTCATTTAAAAATATGATTGCTGCAACTTCATCACAATTCTTGTGTCTTCTAAACTCGTCTTGGACGTAACTAGTTCCTAAGGCTTGAATTTCAGCTGGTAAACCACGATGTAACCTTAAAATTGTTTTATACAGCATCCTAACACGTTGTACGTGTGTTAAACTAGACATACTGTATTTTTTAGAAATGTATCTATTTATAGATACATATTAGCTCTCTGATATTAGTTCTTATTTCCGTATATTTTCATCTATCAGGACAAATTTAAATGAATAATGATCAGCAGTAAAAACTCGCGCCAAATATTATATACATATGCATGTATTTGTATTTAGTATTTAAGTATTTACATTTACTTGCCGCGACGTACATACATGTATTATACATACGTACATACACAGTGAGAGCGAGTATGATACATATACATTTCAAATCATTATAATATTCATACAACATTTAGAATAGAGTGCATACAAAATTATAGTTTGAAATACATTTAATTTGCAGACGTATCAGATTCGCTATATATCATTATTTAATTGTAAATTATTTATATTATGCATTCTTTAAAAACAAGATATACAAAAAAAATCTAACGTACATAACAATACATTGTTGTAATTATAATTGACGCATTCTTTTTACACAGGATTTTTACATTGTATTCATTATCGATATAATTACATTTACAATTAATGTCTATGGCCGGTATTCATATATTGTTACTTATTTTTAAGATCGTCTTAAGCATTTCCTATCCTTATGTATCCCATATATATTTTCAGTCCCTGTCTTGTACAGGAAACAGGGACTTCAGCAAATGCTTAAGGCCATCTTAAATATAAGTAACGACTCTGAATACCGGCCTATAATAAGTATTGATACACAATTATTTATTTTAATGTCTATAGATTGCCAGTAACAACTTTTATTATTTCACATATTTATCTGAGCGTAAATAGATATATTTAAGTACATTTTTTACAATTATAGAATATGGACAAGCTTCTCGGAAAATTAGTTCTTAACATTAATTTTAGCTTCGATACATTAATTATCTTCGGGACACCTAGAGTCTTGAATTTCCTACAAGTAAAAAAGAAAATGTTTCAAACATCTGATGCAATTTAATTCGATTTAATATAAAAGCTTTTGCAATTATAAAAACATAGAGTCATGTATCTTACCCGGTTCCGTTTTTCTCCGAATTTCGACCAGAATGTGACTTTACTCGTAGATTTTTGCCCAGTTTGCTTATTAAAAACGGAACATGTTGAAAACGGTGGCGAATATAAATGTAACGAAACAGCGGGATTCACAGTACTCGGATTTTCAACTCGATGAAGTCCAAGAGAATCTATAAAGTTGTGTATACATATGTTTAGTAATATAATTTTTACAATACCATATACAGTATTTTATGTTATTTATAATTATTAACTTCGTAAATTAACTTGGAATATTTAGCTGTTTCTAATACTTATTTCAAACTATTAAAAATTTTTATTAACAATTTGGTGACCATTACCATTGATGTAACATATTTCATTCAAACCGACAGTGTTTCGCTCCAGCTCTTTGAGTTCTTCCGGCTCTTCTGTTTGATTTTTACACTTCGTAGGCCACGCGTATCGCGTCTATATAGAATGTCAAGCATTTTCAATAAATTTTTATCATATACGCATACGTGAAAATTTGACTATTTTCGTTCAATACCTCGCACAATTCGCCTTGAAGAATTTTCATAACACAATGCGCGTTGGCATGATCGTGTATAGCTGAACCATGGCCTTCACCCCAACAAAGTACCATTAGATTAAATCTTCCATTTCCTTCATCAACCAAATTCCTTGTATACCTAGGCACAATGATTCATTTAGGTTTCCATACAAATTTATTTTACTCAACTGAACGGGATAAGGACCGATGAATCACGATCGCAAACACACGGAATCTTAATGATTTAGTCTTGAAAGGATTAGTAATTAACTTTATTGTTATCCAGTTCGACTGTGTAGCCTAGTTGCGTAGGCATTGTTTGTCTCTAAACGCTGGGAAACCTTTTTGTCGTTTATTCCTTTCGACCCGTGAATTGTACGTATCGTGTGTCAAAGAACCGATATTCTGAATCAAGTCTAACGTAAGTTAAAGGAAGGGGGGCATACGTGAAAAGTATGTGTAACTAGTAGCCAGCCGTTCACCGCACAAACACCACCGATTATTTACGTGCTACACACATAGCCATTAAGGCTAAGGTGTTCCGCATACTTAGGTTCAGTTGCAATCATGTCGTATCCTTTTTGGTCATATCTTTTCCATAAATTCTCATCATTGTAGTTGTGATTAAATGAAGAATTCACCAGAGACAGAAAGTAAGTACTTTAACGTTGAACGTTATATTAATAAACTAAGTGTTTAAAAACAGTGGAGAACTTGAATACTCAAATAACATTAAACTTTCCATTGTATTTCGTGTAAAAAATTTTAATACATTAAGTACATCCTGAATACCTTGTATGCTATATTGCAGTTTTCATAGTTTCGTATGTTGGGTGGAAAATATAATTACGTACTATAATTTCGCTTATGTGGACGTACTTGACATATCATTCTTTGCAGTTTGTGAAACAATTTAAATGTAGATCAGTATTACATTTTGTCCGTACAAAAGAGATGAGAAAATTAAATAAGTAAGAATATCTGACTGCCGTAAAAGAATTACCTTTATTCTTTTAAAATTATTTTAGCATTAAGAGCAAACTTTTAGGTAGAAATTGTATCGCTTGTATATTAATTGACTCAACATTTAAAATTAAACTGTAATAATTGATATTTCATGCATTGCATTTGAAAAACCTTTCTGATAGATTGTCACATCATTAAGTCGCGTTATTCATTGCTCTTCTAATTACATTAGCAAGAACTATAGAACATTGTTCTTACTGATTGAATTATCGTACGTCATTATTGACATCTCTTTCTGGAACAATCTTGGAACCCTCTCTCCTATCGTTTTCACATTGACTGCTTTCTAACATACACATTACGTCGATTAGTGTTTTACTAGCACGAATAACGCATCCGTGCAAGTATCCATAATATAAGTATTTTCTTAGATAACAGTATTGATGTCTCGAGCGAAATCATGTTGCTTTTGTTATTTAATCTGTAATTTGATGATGATCCTCTTTTTTATTGTTTTTTAAGATCGTTTACTTCGCGTTCGCGTGTCTACTCGTGCAGATAATGTGCGTGCACGGTTGTTAAATTTCTAGTTATAGCAGTTAAGACCGATTATGTTCTTAACAAGGTAAAAAATCGTGGAACGATCAGGGTAGAAACTAGCGATAACCTACCCTGAACTTCGTTACATTAACTTTATTTCCCAATACCGACGCGGCTGAGTTACGTTCTATTCTATTTGTATGCGAGCCGATAAAACGTATCAAGAAATTCGATTACTCACAAACTACTTATGAATGTAGGAAGAATACGAAGAGATACATATGTACATTGGACGGATTTATTTTGATTTTAACGCTCTGTCGACTGCTCCCAACTTGAGTGATGATCCATTGATCTTTTAGTTTAAATATACGTACTACACCGTGCCATGGAGTTTTAAAACATGTTTTGAAATTCGACAAGCTATACTAGGTTTCAATCATGAATTATTGTATTATAATTTATAGTTCCGCGAATGTTCTCTTCATGGTTCATTGATTTACCTGTATCTATCGAACTTTGCATATTTCTTCCATTCCAAAGGGTTGCTCCTATAAGAGGCCATTAAGTCCTTGACGTAATCTATATTCACGTGATCAGTAGCGAATGCATCGTGTAAACGATTAATAAGTTCGCTAAGTGATAGAGAAACCTTTGTATTACGATCATTTTTCTCGTTTAATAGTTTCATGCGAGACACACATTGCAAACCAGGATCTTCACTATAGGCTTGCATTTTCTTCACGGTACGTCACTTGTATCTTTTTTCTTATACTCTTTATATTTGCTTATATCACTGAT